TCCAAGTGTTTCCTTCTTGATGAACGCACCCGGCCAGAAGACCTCTGCTCACCTATTTTCCGGCCGGTGCCTGTCTGGTTGCCAGGTGTTGAAGCGGGAGTCCTCCCATGAAAGCCCATGACACAAGTCGTGATATCCTGGCAAGTCACAGAACCACACAAATTCCGTGAATAGATCATTCTCTGTCTATTTTCTTTGTCTGGAGTATATAGAAGATGGTTCTTATTGATATTTCGATCTTTCCAGGCCTCAACACGCCAACATCGACCTTGAGGGTTAGGCCACTTGGCTTACTTTAGGGCATAATGCGCAGAGAAGTGCCAATTCAAAGGCAGAGAGGGCTTTGAGACGAATGCAGCAGGCAAACAGGCAACGAAACGCTATAGCACCGGTTCCAGGATCTGTGAGAGCATGGGCTTATCAAGTGGTAGCGCTGGCTACGGAGGTTCCAGTCTTGAATATGCAGTTTGCGGGAACAAACCCCAATGAAACGACTGGTAGTTTGTCCAATCGGTAAGCCTTACGGTGGGAGGCCTTGAAATGGACACATGCCAATACTGCGAGTCGTGTACTGCATACACCTCGTGCTCTTGAAACTGACACACGAGATAACAAAGGGGAAATCTGCATCCGCCGCAGCCCTGGCCACGGCCGCAACCACAGCTGAGCCCTGTTCAATGCGGTTCGGCTCAGCTCAGCCCAGCCCAGCCAGTCTCTGACCCCGCTCAAGAATTAACTGCACGAGGCTCGAGCGAATATGAGCCCCGCAAACAAAACGAAGTAAATGCTGACGCCGCGCACAGAACCACCGTGGACACGGGGGCGTGGTTCTCGACGAAAGATCAGACAGATCACTCCGATGAGCCAAAACAGAACAGTAACATACTTGAGTGGAAAACGGATAATAAACCGAGGCAAAGGCAAGACAAGCCAATGCGAGGGAGGGGAAAGAATTGGCTCGGGTCATGGTATGAGTCTCCCCGTAAGGACTAAACGCCGGATGGACGCGCCGCGCGTAAAGTGCTTGCATGGACCGATTAGAGGCCAATGGCTGCTATTGATAGGCCTCTTGCTCCCTCTCCCTCTTGTGGTTTTAGATCCTTGACGCCCTACTCGAATCAGGGCCCCTCGGATCTTGCCTTGTCCACCCCTCTATCCCCCTTGTTTGGTGTCTCTCATCTCTTTCAGAGGCAAATAACAAGCAAAATATGTTGACTGAAGCTGCCTTTAGACGCTCCTTCTCATATTGGTTGATGATGTAGGCGCACTTGTGCTTCGGCTATAAGGGAACAAAATACACAACTACCCTCCTCAATTTGTTCAGCTGCCCCCTCCTTCTTAAAAAGAACGTGAGCGTGAAAATCTTTTGTGAAATCCAGAATGGAGGGACATCATGAGGACCAAAGTTCGGTTTTGTAGTTGGCCCGTCCAGGTGGTTCAAAAAAACCCACAGATACAGGGATGTCCTATCATCGTCACCTACCCTGTGATTTCAACAGGCGTGCCAACGACATCATGAGCATTCGAACCGAGACCACCGTATATTTTGAGCCGTACAACCGTTATACCTCGTCAGCTTGTCCGGTGAATTCTACAAACGCTGTTGTGAGGCACACAACAGTGAAGAAAGTCCTGGAAAGTCGAGTCTCTTGACCAAAGTTTCAGGTCAGCCTCGATCACGGTAGGGATACCAACCAAGACAGTAGAGACGAACACCATCGTGCCCCTTCTGCGATGATGATGCCACCCTCTGGCTAGGTAGTACCGAAACTCAACGTCGACACAGGGGGTTATCAGCCATACATACTATGTATAGGTGCCTAATTGTCGAAAGGCACGCAACAACTCCTACGAAACGGTCACGGAGTGCCATCGACGAATTGAGGCTGAGCTCTCGCCCAAACTATGATATGTCGTGGCATGGCCTGGACTGCTCTGAAAGTCCAATAATGGGCAACTTGGAGTGAAGATCACCGTCGGGCTTCACATTACGCCACGACCAAAGTGATGTTGCCGGCTTACCCTTTGTTCCAGAGATATCAATTGATCATCACCCGAGGGCTGAGAGGAACAACGCCAAGATGGTGAGGAGAAAGCATGTGTCCCAGCCGAGCAAGAGTCATGTTGAACCAATAAGAGGTCAAAGTTAATCAATAGCGAAGCAGGGGAAGGCAGACCCCTGGCAACCTCATCTCTACAAAAGCCCTCGTCGAAGTTGTACGTAGACTGGACTGCAGGTCGTACATGTACAGTAGGGGCAGCAATTAGTGATGGGGGATGTAAGCGTGGGATTTCAACCGGGTCTGGGCATCCCTGCATCATAAATTCCTCACGCTTGAATCAAATAATTTGAACTGTACATGTTGAGGGGCGTGGAGTGATAAGGAGAACGTCGCGACAACAGGCTTTGAGCAACCAAGTGAGTGGCTTGCTAATGAAGGCAAATCTGTAATAAGTTAGTGGATACGATTTTTCTCTCCACGCCGAACGCAAAAGTTGCACTGCGGAGCATGATGCTAGAGTGACCTTTGCTCATGGCGAACCAGGGCCAACTGAGACCTTGTCATTGTGGATTGTGAGCCACCTGATTCATGAAGAGCTGTAGAGCATCATCTTTCGTCAGAACGTTGACTTTACAGTTCCATGTAGGGGAGGTGTCGGGAACCTTCAGCCCCGCCTTGTCTGTTGATTCAAGGCAAGTACTCTATATCTGGACCAGTATTTGCCGAGCCGACTTCAAGGTTGCGCTGTAGGATGTGCTCTTGCACACATTGCTGTTGCAATTTTTCTCAAGGCGCTTCGATCTGTTAACCGTCTCATTATCATCATCATCTATCAATATAATGGATCATCGCCGATGTGGTAGGTTATGATAAAGATGGCGGGACCAGACCAGCCAGACTACCAGGCCACAAGCGTCTAGCTGATCACTCTCATTTGAGGCCGGGTGGTTGGTTGTGGTGGTAGGCGGGAATTAAGCACATATCACCAAGCCTACGGTGCGCATGAAGCTGTATTCTTGAAGTTAGAGAGACACCGAGCCAATAAGAGCCCCGTGTGAGACTGACACTACCAGCCAGACACGATGAAACGACCCGTCTTTGCGTGATCTCGAAGAATTCGATGACAAGGCACTGGCGAGGTACGATGCTGGTGTATATCAACGTTGCCTATTCAATCTTGGCCTCGTTTGCATTCACGGATCACCGACCGCTACGTGTGTGACCTGTGGGTGTTATCAATTATCGGGGGCCGACAAGTTGGAATGCCGTATTCGCGACCATGGTGTGATTCAATGATATAGACGTGTGGACGCATGCCCGGGGCGAATTCCGTAGCCGTAGTCGGACGGATTCATATGCCTAAACAAGTGCTGCGGTTTGAGGCATCTTGTCTCTGAAAATCCTTGGGTTAGGGGTGTCACACAGCGTTGCCATTCATTTCGAATTTGCAGGGATAGGCAAGCTTTTCGATAATGGAAGTGCCAAGATGGCGCCTGAGCCGGCGCTGTCGAGCTAGGGATTCGTAGTTTCAAAAGATGTCAGTCTTGGTTGGCGCTGGACTATGAATATCAACAGGCAAGGAGGCTGTTGGAAGCTCTCAGAGTCAGCCAACAGTGAATGATGATCGGCTATGATTGGGTGGCAGATGTGTAAGTGTGATTATTTGGCACAGCCCTTTGTCTCCTGTCTCGGAGCATAATCCTCTGTGTTGTTTAGATCACTTATGCAACTCAGTGGAAGGGCCGCACGGCAAGCCTTGAATGCACATATCGGTTGCCTCGTCGAGTGTACCGTTAATGATGGCGGAGCACCTGAGCCTTTGGCGTATATTAAAATGTGCCTGTCTCCGAAAGATGCTGGGCGTGCTCATCAACTCAAGTTTGGTTGCGTTTGGGTAAAGGACCATGCACTCTTCAACCCCACCCCTCCAACACCAGGAGCAAGACTGGAACCGAACATATGTCATCAGGGCCTCTGTTCAACAATGCAGTGTTGAGGGCGGGTGCAGCGGAGAATGCAGCAGCAGCTCAGCCAAAAGTGGCATAATGTCGACACCGGGGAGCGAGAGCCGCAGTTGTGTTTTCAGTCAGGCAGAGTCAAGTAATATCACAATGCAGAGTAACAAAGTGAATTGGACCAAACCCAAGTCAGTCCATGACTCCACTGTATCTGCGATTGTTGGTTGCCAGTGTGTCTGCGTTTCCTGTGTTTGCCACAGACGCTGCAAGCTCTCCAAATGTCGATATGGTCAGAGCGCCTGATTGGTTTCTATCTTCAAAATCAATTCAAGCCTGAAAGTATTTATTGTGGCTCAGTGATATAGGGATGTATATGTGTGTACGGATGACGATTGAATCGGTTCTTCGCATCGTGGCTGCTGATGCAAGTACACACATCACATGGCGGGCTGAGAGAAGATGAGACCGGCACTAGGTACTAATCGTCTCCAACACCATTTGTAATGCCTCCAGTACAGACAGACCCATGGGTGGGCATGAGATGGTCATGGTGGGTCGTTTTTGACAGTGTTGAGGGGATGAGAATGGCGGCTGACTGGTGCACAAGTGACAAGCGACAGGACTTCTCAGTCGTCAAGAAACAGCTGCTGGCTACAGCCCGTACTAAGGTAGAGGTACCTAGGGATCCAATGGTGATGAGGTTACTCCGTAGAAGGAAGCCAATGACACATGTGGGAAAGCGCCGGTGTCTTGGTTTTCGATGCCTCCTTCCCTGCCAAGGGGTGCGTTGATCAGAACCTGAAGAGTCGAGGTACAGTAGATAGCTTATAATGGTGGAATTACAACTGAGGATTTGGGCGAACTCCGGGGTTTTTCTTTTTCTTAACAATTTAGAAGAGTATTTGGCAGAGTAATATTAATTGTTAGCTTTTCCCGATATATGAAAGTAAATTTGTTGATGATGACTGTAATGTAATGCAAATGGTCCCGGCTTATTCTTCAAGCCCGAGGGCCGTCAAGTATTACAATTGCAGATGCTCTAGCCAATCATAGCACTGCCAGGTTGAAAGAAGTACCGTTCCTCCCACTTGCCTTTTTCAGGGAAGGCAGTAATCAAGTCTGCTTTCCTTCCTCATCCATCGGCCATCCATAAAGTGAATGCCGATCCTGAGGTATCTTATCTTACCATGCTTAGCAGTGTTGACGCATGCTGAAAAGCCCAATACCAAAACGAGAGACACATCGCAGGCGTCGTTCCTTCTTGCACCGAGTGCTAAAAATGTTGATGCTGCCTCATTCTTGGGGTGCATTGTGTATCAAATTCTGTTACAACCTTCAGAAGTGATCGACCAAAAATTTCTCAATCGATATCCATTCTTACTCCCTTCTCTGATAGTTGCTTGGCTTGGTGGTCCCATATCTTCTTTCCCCTAGGAAGTTTAAAGACAATGGGGCAATTGCTACTGCATAAGGAGTACGAGTACCATCTAGACCCTGGGTACTAAGGTACCTACCTAGCTAAGTATGTGCCTGCCTGTCTCCTGCTGACAGAAGATGTACAAACTTGGTAATGGAAGGTATTTGTTCCATGCTCGAATTCATCGTCCGCCAACGAAATTATCTTACATCTTGGCTTGCAAGTCTGACATACATACATCCGCTTGGTTGTCTGCTGTCACTGTCTCCTGATATATGTATCCATTACATGTATTGATTCACTCCTTCAAACATCCAACCAATCATGCCTGTGCCAAAGTCCCTGCTGCTCCTTTGCGCCAAAGTGAGAAAAATGGAAAGCAAGGGTAATCTCCAAGGTTAGCTTCCTTGTCGTAAGTGACTCACTACGGTTGGCTGGCTTCTGTACCGTACTGATTCGTTCATTTTCTAGATTGATTATCCGCATGCACTCGAGTGGTCATCACAGCACCCACTTCACCATCCTCTGCGCGAGCTTTGCGCCTACGTACATACGAGAAAAGTAGGCTGCGGCGGCATGGTTTTGCTCTTCATACGAGGCGACCGCAGGCATTGCGTCGGGATACAACCAACTTTTTGTACCGAACCCACATGCCTACGTACTCGATTTCGCCAGCTATCGCTGATCAGGTAAGCTTGCCTTGCTACAAATGATTTATGCGTTACAGGTTTGTATGCGCTGCCCATCTTGTCCGAGCTGTCGGAGATAGCGTCTCGAGCTTTCGGCTACTAAGAAAAAAGTAAAGAGAGACGAGACAAGTCACTCGTTCCCTTGCCACTGTGGCTCTCATTGGCGAAGTGTGCAAGGGAACTTCCTCTGCTGCGCCTAAGTGGCCTGGACTTGCACATACTTGTATTCACAACTGAGAATGACCCGAACCTGAGGTCGAGAATACGATGATGAACGCCATGATAGTGTTGACGAATGACCTGCATGATGATCTATTGTCAGCCTGGTCGATGTCATATCAAAAGATTCCTCTGAAATCATCAATAGATTTTGCATGCTTTTGACTGGCAACATCATAAGACAACATTACAAGAGTCTTGGCCACAACATAAGCAGAAAAATCCTCGGCTCTGTCACGAATTACACAACAAGGCTACTCACGTCCATATGCATGTCCCCGGCACGCAGCAATCACTGTACGAAATTAGACACGCCAATTTTGATTCTCGCAGCCCGCTACCAAGCTTTGTCCATCTCTTTGGCGCATGTTGGGCACGCCAGTTGTTTTTGGTCAAGCAAGGTTGCAGCCAAGGGAATGCAGTGACAGGCTTGTGCACAATTGACTTACTTCCTAACGGCAATAAGCCTCCTGCACCACAGGGTCTGGACGACGACTTTTTTTTGTACATACTGCATTTAGATCTCGGCGAACCCAGGCGCCCTTCAGTGCAAAGGTCGATCTAAGAACAGACAGACGTATGCCTGCAACAAGTTAACAAGGGCTTTGTCAGAAGGCATCCAAACCGACTCTGGACCATGTGTCGATTGTTAGTGTTACAAGTTAACTCAACTGCTTGGCGCGCGGACGTGCCGGTATTGTCTTGGGCTGGCTGGCACAGCTCGAGGTTTGCGAGATGCAGATTCGGTGCCGTCAACAATTAACTGGTCACTTCTGGGTTGCCCCGGTTGAGTTTTGGATCATCATCCCTAGTCTCTCTTTGTTGGAAGTGTGATGACGGGCTGGGCTCCGTTCATGGCGCTGTCCACTGTGTCCAGCACCTCAGGGCGAGGGGGAAATGCCCGCAACGGCAGGGGTTCCCACCGTTCAATGCCAGGTTATCGGATGGGGCCAGACGGTGGCTTCTAACTACCTGCTCCTACGTACCTCATTCAATGGTGATAAAACGGATTCAATATCCTTGTTCCACTTAGAAAGAATTTGAGTCCAGCACTGTAGAAAACGACTCGGCGCCATACCAAGGATCCGGGAGACCTAATATGCCTGCCGAAGGGACGCTGGCTCAGCAGGCCCACCAACTGCGTCCGTATGCAAGACAGAGTATTACGAACGCTACACCACCAAAGAACGAGTACAGCCGTAATCCCAATATGCTCATTGCAGTGTCTCAGAAAGTCATGAGGACTCAGGGATGAAGCAAAGACTCATATCTAAAGCACAGTGCTCGCGCTCGCATGCTGAGTGACAAAGACGCTGAAAATTACTTTAGCCGTTAATAGTTCGACGAGCGGCACAGATTTGCGGCGCCTCTCAGCGAATGGGTGTTGATCCCATTTGGAAGGGAATGGGCTTGTCCCTTGTTGTGGGGGTACATGACAGCTATGTTTGATTCCTTGCTTTGCTATTGCCCTGGGGCTTGAAAGCTGGGACCATTTTCGTTCCTTTCTCAGCCATGCCGTGCTGGAAGTTCTGGTGCGTTTATTCTCCTGAACCATGACTGATCTTGTCTAGCAATCTAACGATGGTTGCCGCCTCAATATATTAAAAACACGTCTAGCCGACCCCAAACCAACCAAAGCCAAAGGTCATCACTGCACAAGCTGCACAGCATAACACAACACAACAGTGAATGAGAACGGAGCGGTATCATCAATGAATGGGGTAGGGAACCTGGTGATTATTTACACGCGGCCTACACTCACGCATTCGCGTTCCTGAAAAGGTCAAGCAGGGAATAATAGTGGAGTAAGCGCCGTGGCATGGCTCATGGCTCCTCGTTCAAGCTCATGATTGCCGGACAACTCATGAGGCAAGTAGCATTTCAAAGATGGAGTTGCACCACTGTTGCGGGTTGTGTAAGTACAAATAAGTGAAGGTTCCGACACACCATCTGTTTGGATGGCTGAGGACTTGTCGGACAAGCGAGCATGCGACACAATGAAGAGTTAAGAGGGAAATACACAACACAAATTATTACAGTACAGAGAACAACAGCACTGTAACTTACTATGTACTGTGCCCGCACAGGGCCGATAAATGATAGGCTTTGTACTAGTCCTAAACCGACGTGTGCCCAATGAACTGTCATTGGGATTCGGAAGACACTCCACAATAGTTGTGTTTGTCGAAACCTCCATCTTTACATATCAAGGATCTCGCATACGATACAAGCCCCAGGCTTCATGGGATGGGCGGAGAGGGATCCAACATGTGCATAAAGGTGTACAGGTCAATCTCACAAGGCTTTCAGGAACGACGCACTCATCTGTCGCCCTTTTTTTTTTTTAATCCCTCCTGGCTGAGCAGGTTTCGTTACGAGTCACACTCTCGTCCTCACATTCACATTCAGTCCCCATCTCAATATCAAAACCAATACCGCAAGTATCCCTTGAGCAAGGTCCCGCCGCCGCTTACAAGGCCCCCGTAAGGCCCGCCCACAGCTTCGAGCACGGCACCGACCGGGCGACCCCTAGGGCGTTCCAGGGGCGACTTCGAACGAATTTGATGCTCCATTAACAATTGAGCTGGGGGCTTAGAATGCAGTTGATGAATGGTAGGTTCCAGCACCCAGGACTCCGCTGTCTAGCGGGCTTGGATCCAATAGAGCTTGGAGAGGAGTGGAGGAAACTTGAGAGTTTTAGCGGCGAGCGAGGGGCGTGTGGGTTTTAGGCCATGGGCGTGTGATAGCCGTAATAATGGATAGGAGCTAACACAAGGCAAAGCACCTCACCTCACCCACGGAAACCGGGGTTGTCGCTGGGTGCGGTGTCAGCTGGAGAGCGCCACGATGGCCCTGGTCTAGTCCGTAATAGCAGGTCTAGTAGAGGCTCGCGACATGGTCGACACAGGATTGTCATGTCGGTGGTACCGGGCTTTGTATGGGTTTGTCTGAGAACTAACAAGTATAGCCATACATGCCCGGCTAGTACCACAGGACACGGAGCGCAACCTGGCCTAGAGACGGCCGGGCGGGTGTGCGTGTGCAATGTCTTGTCTGAGTCTGAGGTCTGAGAATATGAATGAGTAAGTGAGTGAGTGAGTGAATGAAATAGTGTGAATGACGGAAAGAGTACATACATACATGCAAATGTACATACACTCACTCTCGGCCAACGGAACAGTAGCCCATGACCCCATTGAGTCTGAGTCTGAGTCTGAGTCTGAGTCTGATCCAGGGCTTCGCTTTCAAGGATGGTACTTCTGAACCTTAGTCGGTTCAGTGGTGAGATCAAGTACTTTTAATGGGGCTATCATCCATCAGTGGGAGAGCAAGGGGCTCCACTTCACTGGGACTGCCTGGGCTGGCTGGGTTTGGGTAGGTAGGTTTGAACTGGGGACGGACACCCCTACTTTCTACTCCCTACGCTAGGTAAAGTAGGTACTGTACGCTAAGTGCGCTATACTACACTGGGCTGTGTCTAAGAGAGAGAACCACACTTGCTTGACGAACAACGAGACTACCAAGTCTAATCCAAGTGAATGGAAGTCAACTACCTTACAGGACTGTCTGTACATACACGCACACAACCACCAGCCATGGACTGACTGAGCCCATTCCGTTGTTGCTTCTTTTTCCTGTTTACTTTTCCTTTTCCTGTTCCTTTTCCTATTTCCTCTCTTCTATTCCTTCTTAGCTACCTACCTATCCAAACTTCCTCACCTATGAGTCCTCCTCCAAGACCACACTCAACCTCAACCTCCATCTCCATTCCAAAGCGAATAACAGCTCTCCAACCGCAGCGAGCTTATACTAGCTATCCCCCTAGTAGCTTTGTCCTCGCTGTCCGATCTCACAAACGAACAATCACTCTGCCATCCAGGAAACGAACGATCTCCGCCGAATTTCTTTGCTTTGAGCCGGTCTACTGCGAGTACACTGCCAGCCTGTGACAGTCGAATATGGCACTGGCCCTCTGTCTATAGGTAAACCACATTATTCTCGGCACACATTCGCCGATTTTATCTCCTGGCTCCAGATATCAAACGAATGAAAGCTTCTGCGGGTCAAAGTCAATTGTTCTTTTGCTGGCACAATAGGTCAACACGCAGTGACGCAGTGGGGGCTGACTTTGAGAGAGTGTGAAGCTTTCACGAAATACCCAACCCCGAATTAACCTCGAATCTGGCGATTGCGCCTATTGCCTCGCCCAACAACAAGAAGGCGAAACGTGCAGGCCTCCATGTCGGCTGGTACATTGCTTGGGATCTTGAACTTTCCTCCTTCACCTCCACACGGCTCAGTCAGCCGGGAACCTAGCTTTCTTTCAAGCATACAACTGCCAAAGCTGCATTCTCGATTCGACAACATTCCGTTATCGCGAAACGGGCTTAGGACTCCCCCGACTGACGAAATGAGCACTGTCTTTCAGCCCCAGCTGGCTTCGTGGGAGAATCATGCTATTCACAACTATCCTGCTGCGGTGCCTCAGGCTGCTCGACCTACAGCTCCTGTAACCGATGCGAGAGCATCTCAATACTACAGATATCCCACGCAGCAACAACAATCGCAACCGCAACCACAAACCACATATAACCATTGCTACCAGCATGAGCTATCGACGCAACCTGCACAGCCTCAGCTTAATTTACATGCGACTTCCCAAGTCTCTCAGCACCGAAATGGGTCAATCTCAGCAGAGTCACAAGCCCTGGGACAGACCATCAGGCCCTCAACGCCTGCATCGACTGCATCAGGGAGCAAGGACGAGTCCGAGTCGCTTGTCTATCATAGCCTGCAAATCCCCAAGTGTATCAGCCCTTCAGGTGGAAACCTCGCCGATTTCGCTGCTCAGGTATGCGATCTCAAACACATGTGGAATTCACAAAATGCTAATAGGAATAGATGACTTGCCTGTTCTGGTTCGAATCGATTGAGGAACTCAAGCAGGCCGAATCGATTCGTGTCAGAGGCCCCAATGCCCTCATTCCTCGGTTACCGTCTCTCGCCAAACCCCACGATCAATTTCGGAAGTGGGTGTACGGCGTTTTGTCGACGACACAGGTGACCCAAAATGTAATCCTATTGGCATTGTTGTTCATCTACCGGTTGAAGATGTCAACTCCTCAAATCAAGGGTCGCGCCGGCAGTGAATATCGATTGTTGACTGTGGCCCTCATGCTCGGGAACAAATGTAAGTGATGAGTTGAACAAGGGTGTCAGACATCAACTGACCTTGCCACAGTCTTGGATGATAACACCTACACGAACAAGACCTGGGCCGAAGTGTCAAGCTTTCATGTGCAGGAGATCCATGTCATGGAGGTGGAGTTCCTGAGCAACATGCGATACAACTTGGTTGCTACAAAGGAACAGTGGGAGGGCTGGTTAGACAAGCTTTCCTGCTTCAACGAGTACTACGAGCGAGCTGTGCGATTACCAGCATCCCCGATTCATATTCCTTCGCCAACAAACAAGTCTCATCACTCGCCTGTTGCTTCACCGACGGGTATGATGCAGCCCGCCGCCAGCCTCCCTACTCCGGCTGTTACAACGACCAACTATTCACCTACCTCGAGTCATTCCCAGAACTGGTCTGCATACCACTCGAACACTGTCTCTCCATTGGCTACCAAGCCTAATCTGCAGTTCCCTGTCTCGCGGAAGCGAAGTCCCGAGGAAGAGATCATGGAACACCCCGCGAAGCGACTTGCTCCTCCTGGACGAGCTCCAGCTGCCGCGATGGTCCAGGCCGTCAACTCACGACCTAATGGAATCGTTGAGCCGGCGAGGCTACCTGTGCCCCATCTCACTGTCATGACCGGACAGCTCCAGATGCAGCCTCAGACCCAGCCTTCACTGACGCCCTTCAATAGCGGCAATGTCAATATCAACGGATATCCTCAACCTACGCAGCAGGTTGCCCAGCCTGTTCACGTCTCGCTTCCTCCATTGCAGACCGGTCTGCGTGCTATGTCAACAGTCTACCCATCAGGCCCCGCCGCTATGGTGCAGAAGCAATCGCTTCCCACAACAACGGGTGTCACCATGGCGCAAGCTGGCTTCCCTACTCAGGCACCTGTTAACTATGGTACACCAAATAAGCAGCACAGTCCTGGACGTCTGGGCCCCTTCAACTCATCGCCTCTAGCTGAGGCATACGGCCAAGCATCGGCTGTACACACTCCTATGGTGCACACTCCCATTTCTAACTCGCCGAGTGTCTTCCTGCAACAGCGACCTAGCCCGTACAAACCTGTGCGCCATGTTAACACGCTCTTGTGTCCCCCACCTTCGGCCTCACTTGAGCAATATCATCTCGCTGTACCTGTTCCCCCGACACAGATGCACTATCAGCCACTGGGACGACGAAACGACCTGCGAACTGGTATTGTCCCAGAATTTATGGTCTATAACCGCAGTCACCCCCAGAACCTCCCCCCTCACGGACTCGCTCAGGGACACTACCCGTCTTAGGGATGCCAGGGTTACCCTGCGATCGTTCATGAATCTTACCGCACAACACAGCGTAAGCCTCGGCTCTGAGGCCATTTCAACTCGGCATCTGAAGTATGTTTCGCATTTTTTTCCACGGATCATTGCATCCCTGTTTTTATGAAGTTAGATTTTTGGGGTCGGATTTGCATCACAGCATCGCATGGCATAGGCGTTTGGAAGGAAAGAAATAGGCCAGGGTTCAACAGCCTTCCGGATAGGACTACATAAGGAAACGGATCAGGACACCAGGGCTGTCGGTCGCATTTGGCTTGGAGTTTGGCTTTTTTTTTTCCCAGTGATGGAAGCTGCGAGGCCATATAGGTTGGCATTGAAGCATGTTTCACGATGTATTGGCCTCTTAACCGAAAGCTCATCATATCGCAGCGTTCATCCAGCATCGGGTTTATCTGCATGACGTCGGCGTCAACATCGCCTGTATATAGACGGACGCGCAGGACGTCAGTTATGACTCTTAGAATAGATCACAATCAACAGAGGGTTCTGCCAAAAGCGCCAACCCCATGCTTATACGGTGGCATTGTGGTTAGACAACATGTGCGCTTAAAAGTTCCATGGACTCGACGGTGACCTGAGTGTGTTTTTACTCGCTGGCACTTATGCAATAACTTGAAGCTTCTATTATGGTATACAAC